TTATCTTTTTTACGTTGGATGTCATGTAACATTTGATGTGGCATTCAACATAATTGGACCAATTAGAACCTGTCTCGTGTCAATAAATTTGATACGTGACCCCTAAGCTAACGATGTTTATAGTTAATAATGGAGAGAGATTAAAATAGCAAATTTTATAAATGTACATCGATTAATTTGACGCAAAATCAAGGCAGAGACCAAATTGAACAAAAATAAATAGTTCAGGGATCAAATTTATGTTTTAGCCTTTCCATACTTAACATTATACTAAACTGTAGTTTGCTTCAGGTTCTTTTCTGTAGGGTTGAGTATGTATATGGTCCATTGCTGTATTCTTTTTCTAAGCACAGATTTACCATTACATGTATGGTAATTCAGTTCTCTCTTTGAAGAACATTGCACTTGATTTGGCTATTTTCACCCGATGTAACGGTCCAGTTTTGTGCATCTATCGACCAGAAATTTTAGCTTGCCCTGGAAAACATTTATGGCTTACTCATAACCTGTCTACTGCTACAGTATGAGAAGATACTAAAGTTTATTTCAACTGCAAAAAGTGAAGGAGCAACTATTCAGACTGGTGGCACTCGTCCTGAGGTATGATTTCCTGCATTTCATTGCAGGCATTCTCTCTCTCCAATCTGTTATGATATTGAAGTTTTTTTAAAAAAACATTTTGCAGCATTTGAAGACGGGATTTTTTATTGAACCAACAATCATTACTGATGTAACTAACTCCATGCAAATCTGGAGAGAGGAAGTTTTTGGACCTGTTCTATGTGTTAAGACATTTTCCACTGAAGAAGAAGCCATTCAATTGGCAAATGATACCCAGTAAGTTGATTGTTTTTATCTGGACATGATTATTTTTCTTTCATTCCTTCAATTTGTTTCACTGGGAAGCTCTCCCTTTTAAATTCCCCTTTCCCTTTGGTCTGGTTTTGATGTGGGATGGTCATGCCCGACAACCTATTGGTGTTTGACAGTTATGGGTTAGGTGCTGCTGTGATATCCAAAGATCCTGAGAGGTGTGACCGAGTAAGCAAGGTAGGATTCATTTTTGTTGAAGTTACAACCATTGTTCCGTGCCCCACGCCACCATATAGTGGCATATTTTTGTTGGGGATTATCTAATATTGAAAATGAACTGGCTTTTCTCTTTTCCTGCTCAGGCATTTCAGGCAGGTATTGTATGGATTAATTGCTCACAGCCATGCTTCTGTCAGCCCCATGGGGTGGCAACAAGCGTAGTGGCTTTGGACGAGAACTAGTGAATGGTATGTTTCTTATTATCTGGATAACGGATTCAACTAACATTTTTATCTAGATTACTCAAGTAAAAAACAAGTAATTTGGTTCTTTTGTCAGGGTTTCTGAATAGAGAATTCATGTAAACACAAATGAATATTTGACTCACT